TTGTGTCCCATCCACCTCTCACCTTCCTTGCATAGCGCTTGGTGGATTCCGTTATTTTGGCTATTGAAGCCGTCAACACTCTCCCTGGACTGGAAATCTCCCTGAGACAAACGTACAGCGAGGCTTATCCCGGCTCTGCCAAGGGAGGGGGAGCGGCGGCAGCCGCCGCCGCTATGGCCGCCGCCGCGGCGGCGGCGGCGGCAGCTGCTGCCTCCGCCGCCGCTACAAACGGCATCCAGGGCCCGGATGCTGCCGCCGCGGCGGCGGCGCCGTTGCTGGTGCCGTTTGAGGTGACGGCGACGCTCAAGATGCCAACCATTCTGGATCCCAACCAGCCGGAGGTTGCGGCTGCCTTGCGGATCATTGAGGTGGGCAAGCCTAGGCGCCTGTGGGCCACGTTTGAGAAGAGGAAATACTAAAAGCTTAAGGTCCCTGTACTTATTAGATTGCAGAAGCCATAAAGCAAGCTTTGTCAGGTGACGGTTGTATGCACATTTTGCCGATCGCCTACTCCCGATGGCGATGACCACCATCCTGATTCTTTGGAAAGCGAGAAGGACCCTTAAAATTGGGAACTTGCTGCCTGGCATCCTGGTAACGTTTCTCCCCATAATACTCCTCCACTGCCCCATACCCATTGCCAGCTGCCTTCGAGTAGACATAGCACGGTTCAGAAGAAAAGGAGCCCCTTTTCGGGCTAGGGCTTAGGGGCTAGCCCTTTTTTATCCCAGGGAGAGGGGTCCTGATGTTGATCATTTGATGAACTGCTCCATTCAAAGGCGAATAACCTTACCATCGAACAGATCTGTTTGTCAATCTGTGCACCCGTAATGAGTTCCGTTCCGCGCTCATTCATTTTCGACCTGATTTCTTCCCGCACGCTGTGCAGGAGGTGGCTGAGAGCAGTCGTCGGCGCTGCGAGGCCCTTCTGATGAGCTTCCAGGAGCACACAAGCCTTCTGGCAGCAGATACCATTATGCTGCGCTCGAGGCTCAGTGTCAACCGCCGGGCAGCCGTGATGCAAGATTGGATTGACATGATTGAGAAGTTCAGGTGCGGTCGCGGCGCTTTTCTCCTGTCCCCTGCCTTCCTAATCCTTGTGCCTTCGCCTCCCCTCTTCCCTCTGTCACGCTCTCCTGTTCACGTCCGGCTCCGCCTGCCTCCTCCTTCATCCCCCTTTCCCTATCACTCTCCCCGGCTCCCTCTGTCCACAGTGCTCAGGAGGAGGCCATCCGGCGGGAAATGCCCTCCGAGGCCTGGCTGGGTCTGGTGCGGCTGGACTGCCGGGGCCTGAAAGACTCCCTGGCGGCAAGAGCCCGGGAGCTACGGGGGCAGATCCTGCACTGGCTGCAGGCGGACGCCACGGATGCAGCTCACACCACTCTGGTACGGCTCAAGGTGAGTTGGGGGCCCGAACAGGCAGGGAGGGACACGGAGGCCACACAGCGTGGAGTACTGGCACAGTGCAGTGCAGGACGATGCCTGGGGAATCCGGGGGCAACGGCTGGGGCCCTCGCAAACTACTTGTGTAAGTGTTCACCCTCTTGACACATCGGCATAATGTCGCAATGTGTGACTCTGCGGAACAGGAGCCGGCGGACGTATTGGCGGCGGGCGCCGTGGACCTGGCGGCGTTGCATACAGTGCGGGAGCTGCTGCCGCGGGTGGCGGCCCTGGTTTCGGAGGTCCAGCCGTACACCGCCACCATGCGTGTGAACCTAGCCATCATGGAGAGGTTCAAGCACCCGGTGAGATGTGACGACCCGTTGTTGTTTTAAACGTGGCCCCCCGCAGTAGTCCTTCCTTGCGATTACTGGACGACATCCTCATCCCACCCGCACCCAGCAACATCCGACCCTCAACAGATACACGCATCCAAGCCGCAACACACGCACGTCTGCGGCGCAACAGACCCTAAATCAATCAGGTTTAGCGTATCTCTCACACGCATAAAACCCGCCTTACACACACACACACACACACCCAGGAACGCACGCACGAGTAAACCAAATCCCCTCATGTGCGTCACATCTTGTAGGTCTCGGTCACATTGCCGCATGGGGACAATGCAAGAACCCCTCGCCGCCTCCAGGTGGCAGGTGCCCCTTTCCAACCCCCCTCCCCCCCTCCGCACCCTTACGCACCTCCCCGCCCGCAGCTCCCCGATGCTGAGCTGGCTGACATGTGGACGGCTCTGAGGCTGCCTATGGTGGCTCAGGAGCTAGCCACGGAGCGGTTGATGCACATGCGCGATAATGAAGAGCGCTGCCTGGAACAGCTTAAGCGGGTGGGCCGGAGGAGGAGAGGGGAAATATGTTCTAAGCCATGAAGGGAAACATCCGCCGGCATTAAAAGCACCAACTGCCGGAGTTCACAGCGATGAATGACAGGATGACCGGGTGCCATAGGAGGGGCGCCAGAAGGAGGTGTGCCCGGGGACAGGTGCCAGGCGCCAAGGGCTGGACACCTTGTCTGTTTGCCCGTCGCGCGCTTATCTCGACCTTATGTGCTTCGCAAATATACACCATCTCCTCTCACACCGTCTCCTCTTACACCGTCTCCTCTTACAAATTTCCCCTCACGCTGGTCCTGCCGGCACCTCTCATCGCGTGGCCTCCACATCAGGACCTGGACGTGTTCGCGGACCACGTGGTGTCACTTCGCAAGCGGGTCATGGAGCGGCAGCGCCTGGCGGATGAGTCGCAGGTGGACAAGTATGTGGAGCAGTGCACGAAGCTGGTGGGTGAGGGGTTGGGGAGGTCCGGTGGTGGTGGGAGGGCGGTGGTTGAGGATCGCACAAGCTTGGGGGGGATTTGTGTGCAAGGGCAATTCTATCTCTAATCCAAGGCATTTAGGCGTGAGTGCGGAAGCGCGGGATTGGTCCTGTGGGAATGAGGGTATCGAAATAGCACGGCTTCGGGTTTTATGCGATACTCAGCATTCCGGATGGCCGGTGGCCAAGATAGTTCCTCCCCACTTTCCCTGTGCATTGGCTGGCTAGGACCGGGTCATCTCTGAGTGCTTATGTTCCTTTCCCCTACCCAGCCACCTAACCCCCACGCATTCCTTCTTCGCACAGGACGTGGACCTCATTGCGGCCATCGAACGCGCCCAAGCACTGAACCGCATGCAGCTGCTGGCTGGCTGGGAGCACACCAACTACGAGGGGCTCACGTCGTTGCGGCGGCAGCTGCAGCCCTATTCAGGTGGGTGAATGGGTGCCGGTGGGCGGTTCAAGGCTGGTGTTGATAAGCTGTGGGATTTGCACATCCATTCTCCGCTTCTCTGACCTTCTACGTTAATTCCTGGGCTCTATATTTCTGCCCTACCCGCCTTTCAACCGGCTCTGTTTTTCCCTCCCTGTGTACATCCTCATCCCTGCGCCTCCCCCGCCACACCTCCCTGAACCCCGCTCAGACCTCTGGAAGCTGGTTCAGGGCTTCCGGGAGATGTACCAGGTGTGGATGTACTCGCCCCTGTTCGGCTTCGACCTGGACGTGCTGGAGACCCGGGTGCCGGGCTGGGCGAGACTGGTGGCCAAGCTGGATCGGGAGCTCAAGGGGCCGCCACACATGTGAGGACGGGGGCCCAAGTGGGGGCCCTGTAGGAAGGAGACTGCCCACGCTGACTCGGCGGCGAAGGGAGAGGGTTGCGGAAGAGAGGAGAAAAAGGAAGCTGGGAGGTGGGGAAAGGGGTGGCAGAGGAGGACGAGGACGAGGAGGAGGGGCGGTGGAGGAGGGATCTGAAACTAGCGAACCGCGAACGGGTCCGACACTGTGAGTCCGTTGAGAATAGTGTGGGTTGTAGACCTGTGTCTCCACCCAGTTCAATGGCTGCGATAACCACGGCGCCGGTTTGGTTCCACGCAATATCGCCTGGTCTTGCTATATGTCCTGCTTCAACCAGCCCCACGATCAGCTCCACGAAGGTACCCGTCATTTCGTTACATTTTCATTTTCATCGCCAGTGCCACACCACCACGCCCTGTCCACCCATGCCCTGTTCACCCACCCTCTCACCCCACTGCCGCAGTGTCGCTCGGAAATACCATAAGCGCATCTCTGACTTCGAGGCCTTTGTACCGCTTATTCGGGCTCTAAGGACCAACGGACTACGTCAGCGTCACTGGGCCCGGCTGTTCGAGGAGGTGCCTGGTGGGTGGGAATTAGAGCGCAGCGGGGCTGGTTGGGTGATGGGTTGGTTGGGAGGAGGTTTAGGCGTGTTATGGGGATTCGCCAGCGGGAGAAGAGGCCGTTAGAAAGGTAAGGAAACGAACAGGGCCGGGGTGCAGAAGGTGCGAGTCAGTGCGCCTAGGTGTGGTGCAGCGGTGTTGCGGGGGAACGCGTGCCTGCGGGAGAAGCCCGACGCAGGGGTATGGCAGGCCTGGCGGTGAGCATTAGTAGGGGAGGGGTGGTGCCTTCAACCATTTCTCACCCCACTTCCACCGTAGCCCCTCCGCTTTCGCCCTCCTTTGCCCCCATCCTACGTGTCTCCTGCGCCCAGCCACAAGCCAATTACCGCTGCCATCTCCTGCGCCCCATCTCCTGCCAAAAATCTTGAAACTCCCCTTCACCCCGCAGCCCTGGCCAAGGTCGAGCGAGACATCTGGACGCTCCATTCCCTGCTTGCTTTGCGGGTGCACGAGCATCTAGTGCTAGTCCGCGACCTGGCAGACATGGCGGCACGCGAGCTGACCATTGAACAAAGCCTGGACAAGATCGACTCGGGCTTTCACGTGCTGCAGATGGTGCTGGCTCCGGTGCCAGAGAGCGGATATTCGGGTAAGCGTTCCGGGGAGGAGGGTCGCGAGCACGGAGGAAACAACAACACGTCGAGTATCAAGGAATATTCGTGCTGCCATTACAAAGAAAATACACAAGCCAGATGAGAGTGAGCAATGGATTCAAGTTCAGGAATGCCCTTCGTCCTTCAACCCTCCATCCTCCACCCTTTCGCACATCAAATACGCTCCCTACTCCGTGCATACATATGTACACACAGACGTGGTCACGCTGGTGAATGGCGAGGACCTGCTTCGCTTCGTGGACGACGCACAGCTGCGGGTCCGCGGGCTGGCCACGTCCTTCTACGTCGGGCCCCACCGTGACTCCGTGTCGGCCTGGGACGAGATGCTGGGGAACGTGCGCACCATCCTGGACGGCTGGCTGGAAGTGCAGAACCGCTGGAACCACATCGCACCGTTGTTCGGGGCACAGGCATTTGACGAGCAACTGCCGGAAGAGGTAGGCCGGCACTGGATTTCCCACGATACTCCCGAGGGTTGGGTGGAAGGAAAAGGGGTTAGTGTCGAAAAGGGGTGTGAATAACCTGGGAAGTGGGTGTGAGTCTGCGAGTCAGTGGTCCATTTCGCGGTTATGTGACCTTCCGTAACCCTCCTACCGTGCCGCCAGCTGCCCATGCGCTGGCTGTCAAGTACAAACTCGCCAAGCATCTCTCTTCCCGCCCCTCAAGCTCCGCCCCGCCCTAACCGAAACTGCGACCAACCGCCCACGCCCGTTCCCCACACTCGCGGCCTCCTTCCCAGGGCGCGCGCTTCGAGGAGGTGACGGTTGAGTGGCGTGCGGTACAGGCGCTTGTACGACGGCACTGCAAGGTTTCGGAGCTGACCCGGCACACGAACTTGGCGGCTCAGCTGGCAAACATGTCACGCAAGTTGGAAGGTGTGGCACGTGGTGTGATGGAGTACCTTGATGTGAAGCGGGCTGGCTTCCCGAGGTTCTACTTCCTTGGCAACTTGGAGATGGTGGAGATGATGGTCGGGTAAGTGTGGGCTGGGAGAGTTTCAGAGCGGTTGGTCGGCGGGTAAAAGGGGCCTAGGTTTTGATTCCGCAGAGGAGGTGTACTGCCAGATCGTGTCGTCTGGCACGACTGCGCTATGAGGAAATGTGGAGCTGGTGTCTCTTATGACGTTCTGTGATGCAGTCAACCCTGTTGCTGTGTCTTTTCGGGTCTTCCGTCCAAATCCCCACCCCCACATCGCCGCCAACCGGGCCCCCGCACACCTGGCGGTCCGTCCCCGTCTCCGCAGCTCCCACGACCCCGCGGCCGTGGAGGCCTTCCTGCCCAAATGCTTTCCGGGGGTGCGCAAGGTCGGGTGCGTGCGCGCGCTGCCATCCCGTGCTGCCAACGGCGGATCCGCCACTGCCGAAAGCATGTCCGAGGCCTACTCGGAGGCCATGTCCCGCTCTGGTGCGGGCGACCAAGGCCTGGGCGCCACCGACAGGGCTACATGGCAGGAGCGCACCGGCACTGCTGCAGGCAGCAACAGCCGCGGCGTCACGCCGCCGGTGGCGGTAGCGGTGTTGCCGCGGTCGACTCCTCCTCCACCGGGGGGCCTGCCGGGCCTAGCGGCATTCCTTCCAGGCTACGGCCTGGCGGTGGGGGGAGATGCGGCCACCCGGCGGGTATGGGGCGGGCCGCGGATTGAGTCGCTCATTTCCAATGAGAGCGAGGTGCTGCCGCTGCGGACGGTCGTGGAGCTGCAGGTGAGAGCTCGGCTGGGATTGGGAATATCCGTGGAGGATAACGTCCTTTCGGGAACTGTGTGCATATGTATTTCCACGAGGAGGATTTTCGGGGGTTTGCCCATGTGGCCATGTGGTTAGAGAGATCACGGGAGCAGAAAGCAGCTGCTCTGACCTAACTGAAAGATTGTCTGCCGTAGCAGCATTCAGCCCTGTCATGACCCCTTGAGGTTGTGCAGATACCCCTGGTTTCGAACGCTGATTGCGTTTCGTTTCAATCGTTTCATTTCGGTCATTTCGTTTCATTTCAGTCCAGCCCCCTCAAAGCACATGCTCTTCGGTCAACTACTTCCCTGTACTTGTTTCATCTACCCTGAAATGAGTTATCCGTTATTTGCTCGCTTTGCTCCGGGGACAGGACTCCCGCACCGGCAAGAAAGCGGATGTGGAGGTGTGGATGAGCGAGTTGGAGCGGCAGATGCGGGGCAGCTTGAAAGAGATGCTGCGGTTTGCACTCGAGGCCACAAGCCTGCAGCCCTTCTCCGCCTGGTTGCTGGCTTGGCCAGCTCAGTGCCTGTTGGCCTGCACCTCCATAAACTGGTGCCGGGACATACACGACATCTACCAGGTGTGTGTGTGTGGGGGGGGGGGAAGAGGTAATAGGGCAGGTGAGCTTCCAAGTTGGTACGTGCATGGGTCCCTTTCCCACATCTGGGTCCGCGAATCCGCGCCACTCCTTTCCCATCCTTTACCCGCTCTTTCCCCAATCGTCCTTTACTTCCTGTTGCTCCGCCCCCCTCTTCTCTCTCCCCCCAGGCCGGTGCCCCCTTCTCCACTCCCCTCCGCCGGCTGGAGGAGCTGCACCGCTCCCAGATCCACACCGTAGTGGACCTGCTGCTGGGAGGCACCCTGTCACCCGTGCAGAGGGGCATCATGGAGAACATGATCCTCACAAAGGTACGGCGCGTGGTTGGGGATGAAGTCCCGTCACACATACCTACTTGGGCTTTGGGTAATGAGCTGTATTCGTTTTTTTACATGCTTGTCGTAATTTGCCGTACTGCCGCATCGTCCAGGTGTACCACAACGAGGTGACCGCCCGGCTCCGCGAACGACGGTTGGACAACGACTCCGACTTTGAGTGGCTCAAGGTGCTGAGGTTCTACCTGGAGGTGAGGCTGGCGGTTGACGGTTGGGTGTTTGCGACATTTGACGGTCGGCTTGGGCTGGTCTCCGGCAGTTTGCCACTGTAGACTTCAACACGTTTTTTCGTAATTGCATATTGGCATGTCGCGATCTTCAGTTTGCGCACGCCTTCCACTGGAGCGAGTATGTATAGGAGGGAGTAGCCTTCCAGCACGAATTAGATGTTTTTGTTCCGGGATTCCCCCCTATGACGCAACAACTCGTCCCTGTCTTCACTGTCATGAATCAACCGCTCCTTTAAGCCTTCAAGCACCAAGGATGTTTTCTGGATATGGGACGCATTCTCCAAACCGCCGTCCCTTTTCCTCGCATAGGGTCCGGAGTGCATTGCGCACTGCGGCTACACGTCGTACCCGTACGGCTACGAGTACCTGGGCAACAGCCCCCGCCTGGTCATCACCCCCCTCACGGAACGCGCCTTCTCCTCCATGATGGCTGCCGTACACCTCCACTACGGCGGCGCACCTGAGGGACCGGCAGGTGGGTGGTACCTGCGTCCTCCCCTGCCGTACATTAGCGATCATAGCCTACGGCATGAGGGAGACTCGGACAGCTTGGGCTGGCTGCCCGGGTGGTAATGTTGGCAGCGCGAAGAGAAGGGAAGGGAAGGGAAGGGAAGGGAAGGGAAGGGAGGGGGGGTTTCGCACAACTCTCAACACATCACATCTGTAAATGGCCAACCCTCCTTCCTACCTACTTGGGCGCTTGCCGCCCTCCTTCCCTCCCCGAATCCATGGTTTAGGGCACCAGCAGTTGACGCTTTGGACGTCGGCAGTTCACCCTTTGTCGCTTCTTGCATATTCATTTCCCCACATCCGTGGCCCTGATCAGGCACCGGCAAGACTGAGACCGTGAAGGAGCTGGCCAAGTGCCTGGGCAAGCAGTGCGTGGTGTTTAACACGACTGAGCAGCTGGAGAGCGGCCACCTGACCCGCCTGCTCATGGGCATCATATCCACGGGCGCATGGGCCTGTTTCGACGAATTCAACCGCATGGACATGGAGGTGCGTACCTGGGAAGTCAGTGCGCGGCTAACGTCACCTCGGCCTGGAGATAGGTGTCTGGGCGGTGCGTGCAGTTGCCCATGTACGGAAGGTGGCCACGGTTTGTGATTACTGTTCCGTGTAGCACGCCCTACATCCCACACCACCGTCCACCACGCATTCGGCATTCCACGTGGTTCTCATGGTTATGCCCCCTCCCTCCGTCGCTCGCTCCGCCCTTCCCACACGGCCTCCAAACCCCCACCAGGTGCTATCCGTGGTGGCCAAGCAGATCATGGTCATCCAGACCGCCCTGGCAGCCGGTCAGCGCTACACGGTGTTTGAGGGTCGTACGATGTACGTCAACAGCTCCCTGGCCATGTTTGTAACCATGAATCCCATGTACGAGCACCGATCCGTTCTGCCGTCAAACCTGAAGGCACGTAGGGCTTGGGGGGAAGGTTTGGGGCTTAGGGTGCTTTGAGGCGGAAAGGATGTGAGGAATGGAGTTCGGGGCTGTGGGGGATGGGTGAGACAGGGCCAGGCCATGACTGACCGGGTGTTCGGTAGCGTAGGGGGTATTCGGTAGTGCTCATTCCGGTGCCACTCCACGTTGGTGACGAGGAATCCTTCCGCCACACTTCCTGCGACGGGGGTCCTCCGCCCAGTGTTATCTTCCGGTTGTGTGCGCTTGGACAAGACGTCCCCTCTTTTGAGCGGCCAGCCCCTCCCCACACCAACCCCTACTCTTCACATACAAACACACAACCTCCTGTTTCCGCAGTCGCTGTTCCGTCCGGTGGCCATGATGGTCCCCGACTACACCATGATTGCCGAGGTGTCACTGTACGCAGCCGGCTTCCAGTCCGCTCAGATGCTGGCCACCAAGCTTGTGTCCTGCCTCAAGGTGAGGATACTACCTACCGCTGCCGCGCCTGCGCGAGTCTGTGTCTGTGTGACACATGTATGTCTGTACACGCTTACCTGTCCTGCATGTGTTTAAGCGTTGTATTCTAAAGCGATCGCCGTGGCTTTAGTTAGCCCCCTTCTCATGCAAATACAGGGTGTGAGCTCTGGGCTTCCTATCCCGCATACAGGGGCCCCCTCTCCCTGCGGAAGCGCACGCAGGGCCGCAGACACACAGAGCCTTACCCGCCTCCCTCTCCCCCTCCCCCTCGTTCCCGACCACCCCTGTAACTGCCTGTGTCCCCCGGCGGTCTCGTGTTCAACGCCGCAGATTGCCGCTGATCGGCTGTCGGCTCAGCAGCACTACGACTTCCAAATGCGTACCCTGAAGAGCGTTCTGCTGATCGCGGCGCAGCTCAGGAGCGAACGGGCGCTAGCGGCAGCACAATCCAAGGCGGTGGCGGCAGCCGCCGCCATGGCGGCAGCCAACCAGTTCCCGACATCGGCGTTGCAACAGCTATCGGGACTGCAGCAGGGATTCAGCACTGGGGGTTCGGTACTGCCGCCGTCGCAGTCGTCACTGATACCGTCGCCGTCAATGCTGCTGCAGCTGCCGTCGCCGTCAACATTGCTGACGCCACAGTCGGGGCTGCTGCCGTCGCCGCTGCTGCCGCAGCAGCCGTCGCCTTTGCAATCGCCGTCGCCCGCGTTGTTTGCGGCGAACCCATCGGCACTTACAGTGTCGTCGATGACTCCTTTGCCTGGCTCGATGCCGGCAGATATGTACGGCCCTGGGTCGCCGATACTGTCGCCTCTGATTTCCGCACCCTCCGGCGCGTCGTCTGTGCTGGGGCGGCCGGGCTACCCAGTCCGAAACCCTAAAGATGAGGTGGGGCGGCTGAGCGAGGAGGAGGAGGCTGCACTGTGCAAGGTACGGCGACGGGTAGTAAGCGTACGGCTAATTTACTTGCGAACGGTACTCTCCGTATCAGCCTGCCCCTAGTGTCATGGCGGCGGGTTGCTTTGCCGTTGCTTTCTGTGCGTTCCTTTTCACCCCGGCCAGTGCGGCAAATGTTTAGGACTTCGTAAGAAAACAATGTGTCCCTTCCCAGGCCTTTCCCCTCCGCCCTCCACCTTCAACCCCACCGTTTCCCTGCGCCCAAAAACCCCCGTCCGCCGCGCCCGTCAGGTTGCACTACTCCGCTGCAACATGAGTAAGCTACAGCAGGACGATGTGGCCATATTCACAAGCATGGTGGAACGGGAATTCCCGCAGGTACGTTAGAGAGGAACGAGAGGAACGTAGCTAACCCGCACATATTCGTGTGTTTTGTGTTCGTGCTCGCAATTGTGTGTACTCTGTTAGGCTTCTATACTGTACGTGTGCGCGTCCCAGAACAAGATATTAGAAGTAGTGGCCCAGCCCACGGCGCCTTATCCCTCATGTAGTTCTGTGGCGCTGCTGTTGTTGTTGATTAAATCCCGGGCACTCCACCAGCATGCGCGCCACTTCGTAACCCCTTTCCTCCCCCTCCGGATCTTTCCCCCTCCGCTGCCCCCACAGGCTGTCCCTCTTGACCCCCTCCACGCCACTATTGAGCGATACCTCCACGAGGCGGCGGAGCTAGTCGGAAAGCGGGTAGGATTGCGACTTGGAGGGGAGCCCGGGACCCCACCGCCCTGCCTACATTTCACACCCACCTACCCTCTCGTTCCCCTCCCTCTCTGGGCCCCCTTCCTCCCTCAGGCCACCCCCGAGCTGGTCCTCCGCGCCCTTCAGCTCCACGACATGTTGTCCATCCGTACGGGCATCTTGCTTCTGGGCCCTGCAGCCTGCGGCAAGACCTCCATGTGGGCGCTATTGCAGATGGCGCTGTCCCGAGTGGATGTAGAGGCGGGGGGGATGCCCGTGTCTGCGTACGACATATTCCCCAAGGCAAGAAAAGACAATCACACGGGGATTGGTTAGAGTGGTTAGAGCGTGGAACCGTTACGGTCAGTTGTGTCGCGAATCTGTGATCACTTATATTATTCTTTTTGTGCTAGCCTGGTACGGCATACGGCAGTAACCACCAACGCGTCACGCACTGTGGAAAAAAGCAAGTCTCAGCCATGCCCAGAGTTGCGAATGGCATTGCTTTATCCCCCCATTTTGTTAAGCTAGTCGGAACAGACGGCTAGTTGTTGGCTGAAGTGCCACCATTCCCGGGCTTGTCCACTAGCGCGCTAACCCGCCCTTCCTCCCTTTCCGCCACAGGCTGTTAGCCCCAGTCATCTGTACGGCTCCTACAACACCACCCACCAGCACTGGGCCGACGGTGTCCTCACCGCAGCTCTACGTCAGGCCTGCAGCCGGGGCGCAGGCGGCTCCAATCCGGGTCGAGCCTGGTTGGTGCTGGACGGCCCCGTGGACACCCGCTGGGTGGAGGGCCTCAACCCCGTACTGGACGACAATCGTACTCTATGTCTCAGCTCCGGCGAGATGATGCCACTGCGGGACGGCGTGAGCTTGCTGCTGGAGACGGACTCCATCGTGCATGCCTCGCCGGCTACCGTGAGCCGGTGCGGTGTGGTGTACATGTCGGCACCGGTGGACTTGTGGCGCTCAGTGCTGGACTGCTGGCTGGACAGGGTGGGTAGGGTGGGGCGGGAGGCGCTGAGGGGGAGGGAATGGAAGGGAGGGAGGGGACAGTATCAGCGAGGGAGATCACAGTTTTCTCAAGCGGGTCGTGAGAATGGAAAACCTGTGCGGGGAGGAACATAGGTCTCGCCGATATGTATTGGCCGGAGAGGAGGCCTTTCGAGAACATGACGTGGATGGATCCTGTATAAACGAGTGGGTCTGGCACATGGCACATGGGCACGCTGCCATCATTTCCTTGATGGCGCCCTCTCGACCTAACCGTCGTCCGCTCCACTGTTTTACCCCCTGTGCTGAGCAGCTCGCCCAGCCGATACTCGAGTACCGGGGCAAGATCCGAGCCACTTTCGTCAGCGTGTTCCCCGACTTGCTGCGCGCATACCAGGTGTGCTACCGCATCTACGTGTGTGTGTTGGTGTGTTGGTGTGGTTCGGATGTGGGTGGGCATGTGGCCATGTGGAGGTCAGGAATGTGCAGCTTGCAATCGCATTCGTGCACGTCTTTGTGGCTGTGTGTCGTTTCTTCTTGCGGCTCGCGGCTTTCAGCTGTTTTGTATTGCTGCTGCTTCCGCTGACATGACCCCGGCGGCCTGGGACTACCTGTGTTGGTGTCCTCAATTGCTCTGCTGCGGTTTCTCCTTGTTTCCTGATCAGGACTCTAGCGAACAGGAGAGCTGGGCTCCCCGCCACCAGCCCACCACCGTGATGGTGGCGGTGCTCAAGCTCATGGACGCGCTGCTGCAGCAGGTACGGGCACCTGTAGGGGATTGCACGTGTAACACTGCGCCCCCTGCGCCGCCGCCTGGGGCCCCTGCCGGTTGTCCCCGCCCACCTTCCTCCCTCATCACGCAGCTGTAGCCCCGCCGCCTGACAGGGGCAGCGACTTGCTGCGTGCATCCCCACATAATTCGTTCCTTCCTTCTCTCCGCTTCCCTCCTAGTTTCCGGTCGGGGGACCTGCCTTATCATGTCCTGATCCCTTCTACCTTTTCCCCCTACTGCTTTCCCCTCGACCCTTCCCTCCCCCCCCCCAGCACTGCATGACCCGGCGCACCGAGTCAGGCGACCGACAGCTGCAGGCCCGACTCGAGGCCGCCATGTTGTTCTCCACCGCCTGGGCCTTTGAGCCCTCACTGCCGCTCAAGAGTAGACCCTTCTTCAACATACTGCTGAGACAGGTGGGGGCGAAAGGGAGGGCTGTGAAGGAGAAGGGGGTGATTGTGGGTTGGGTTGGGTTGGGTTGGGTTTGGGTGGGGTTTGGGTGGGGTGTGGTGGGGTGTGGTGGGGTGTGTAGAAGTACAGGGGAGGGGGACATAAAGAAAGGCGCATGGGGGGGTAACCCATTGGCGGTAACCCATTGGGGGTTACGACATGTTCAAGGGCATGGGTACGCGCATTTACTTAACCCCCGTTGCCCTGCTGTGCAAGGCGGGGGCTTGAAAAGGGAGACAGGGACATGTTACACATGGGAAGCACTGACTGCTGAACAAGCTTCCCCTCCTCCTCCCCCTCCCCTGGTACACTCTTGCCCTGGCAGCAGCTTCACTCGTTCGTGGTTTGTCTTTCCCCTCCTCCCTCCCCTCCCCTCGGGTCCCCAGCTCACTGCCCGCAGCATCAGTTACGAAATGGAGCACAACGGGGTGTTGACGGAGGTCCGTTCCATGGGCTTCCACATCAGCCTACCCACGGAGGGAAGTGTGTTTGATTACATGTTCGATTTTGCGGGACTCAGGTATGTAGGGGTCTGCGTGTGTGTGTTTGGGTGGGAGAGGCAGGTGGGAGGGGTAGGTGGGCAGGTGTGCCGTGTGTGTGGAGGGGACGGTGGTGAGGTTGGCGGGGGTTTGGGGGTTGTGTAATAGTGTGTGTATGTGAGAGAGAGAGAGAGAGAGAGAGAGAGAGAGAGAGAGGTTTTAGCTACCCGGTTAGGGAGACTACCAAACAACACCTACATTGTTCTTGTTAGTTTGTTCGCATTTAAACGTAAGCGATGTCTATTGCTAACACGCAGCCTCCCCAAACACCCCTGTCCTCAACTGCCCCTCCCCATCCCCGGCAGGTGGATTTCCTGGCACGAGCACCTGAAGTCTCTTTCCGACTGGTCCAAGCTGTCCCTCACCCCGGGGGCCTTCATTCCCTTCGGGTTCCGCAACCTGGTGGAGAGCCACAACACCCACAGCGCAGGCAACCCGCAGGGAGTGGTCCCCGGAGTGGGGGCCGGTGCCGCGGGCATGGGCGGAGGGCAGGGTGTCGGGGCCAGCAAGGCCTTCATCTTGACGGCTGATAACTTATCCGCCATTTACGTGCTCCGCACCCTGCTCACAGCCAAGTGCAACATACTGCTGTCTGGACCCTCGGGTGCGCCGGGTGTGGTGGGGCGTTGTGGGGTAGGGGATGGGAGGTGTGGCAAAAGCAAGGGTAGCAAGCGCACCCAACGGTACTGCAAAGCGTACACGGGTGGGGAGGTGAGGCGGGTGCTATTAGGGGGGCAGAGTGGGTTGAGATGTGTGGTAAAGGCTGGAGAGGTCGTAGATGGTGCCAAGTTGGGCAGCATTCGCCTTCTGGCTTCTTCCCAGGCCCTGTCGCCTGCTGTTCCCGCGTGGGCCAGTCTGTGTTTCCGAAACACACAGCGAATCGAGTATTTGGACGTGTGTGGTGTTTCCCTTTCGAGGCAGGAGGTCACCCCTTTTTCACCTCAACGGCAATGCAATCCCCCTTTCCCTCCTTTCCCCACAGTACCCCGGCTCTTCGCCCGTCCCCCCCCCCTTTTTACCCTCCACCTCTGTCCCCAGGTGTTGGCAAGACCTCCTTATTGTACGCCCTGCTCCACAGCGCCAAGGACTGGATGATCCGCTCTAGCCAGCTGGCAGAGGAGGACGACTCTCCCCCTGTGGAGGGGCTAGGGCTGGTGGGGACGTCAAGCGGGGCAGCACCGTCGCTGGAGGACGACCGGTCCGCCACCACTTCCATGTACGGCGGCGACGACGCGGCTTCGCGATTCACCGACATGGAGTCACGTGAGCCGCCCCGGAGGGGGGGAGGGGTGTGCGGGCAGGCACCGGTTCCGCTTTCCTTTCCTTGTCATGGCCTTAGGTTGCGTCCCGTTGTCAACCTTGGCATACCTCTCCCGGCCCTCTTGTCGGCTGTCCCACTCCACTCCACTCCACACCCCTCCGCGGATCCGCAGTTCACGACGAGACCTCCACCTTCACAGCCGCGGACGACCTGCCCTCCGCCGCTGTTATTAGCCCTGGAGGAGCCGCCGCCGGTCTCGCACCCAGCCCTGGACCGGGCCCCGCCGGCGGTAACAGCTTCAATTCGGCCGCTACCGTTGCTGCCGCCCCCGGCTCAGCTACTGTCGCTGCCGCGGTTGCTCGCCCGGTATCTGTGTCTGCGGTGGCCGCCCTCAACGACGCGGAGACGGTCAGCCCGCTGGATGTGCTGTACCTGACGCTGTCCTCGCAGTCCAGTGCGCGAGGCATCAAGCGCATGCTGGAGGGGCTGCTGACGCGGCGGCGGAGGAATGTGTTGGGACCTCCGCTGGGCAAGACGGCGGTGCTGTGGGTGGACGATGTGAACGCGGCGGGCAGGGACACGTTCGACACACAGGTCGGTATGTGTATTGGAAAGGAGCATTGGCCGCATCAAAGCGTGGTGCGGGTTTTGCGTGTGAGGGCGGAGGGGGCGAGCACGGACTTGTGTATTAGTTTCGATTGTAAGGAGGATAAACCCTGACCTGTTTGCGAAGCGAGCATGAGAAAGGGAAGATGATTAGAAAGAGAAGGGAAGCGGTCACGCGAACCCATCGCAAAGAGTTCTGTTCTGTTTAGGTTTGTTCGAGTGTCTGCGGGGCTGGCGCTGCGTTGTGTTGTGTTGTGTGCCTCACAGCTGCGCATTACCGCCCAACCCTTGCATTCCAACCCCAGCCCCTGCTGGCACCTGCTGCTTAACTGCCCCTCCGCCCCCAATCAAGCCTATCACTCCCACCGCCACGGAAGCTGGCTATCCTCAGCTCCCACCCTGCCCTTGACCCTTCACCTGCGTCCCTTTACAACACTCCAATCTCCCCCACCCTCCACACAATCTCCCCATCCGAAACCTCATGTATCTTCCAGGCTGCAGTGGAGGTGTTACGGCACTGGTCTATATCCAGCTGCTGGCACGAAGAGGACTCAGCTCGCAACAAGGAAGTGGTGGAGACCTGCCTGCTGGCCTCGCTAACAACATCACCACATTCAAAGCCGTGAGTGAATGGAGATGATGGATGGGGAAGATTCGGGTGCTGCGGACTTTTAAGGGGGCCCGCGACGTGTCGTGTGTTTGTGACACCATGTATTTGCATGGCGCCGGGGGTTAGAGATGGGGAAGGGGGATAGGAGGGAGGTAAGAGTTACAAGTTACTAGTTCCGCGCATAAGTGCGGGTGTGTCCGTAAAAGCGGGGGGGCCCATGGCCGTTATATAAGTATTGATGCGCGTACGCGGGAGGCCATCCTCCTCCTCCCTGGTTCGCTTCAGGGACCATGGGATTAGTCATAGCGCCTTCAAAACATTTATGAAGTGAGGTCCCCAAACTTGCGCTCCATAGGAAAACACCGGTACAACTAGTATGATGTTACAGGGTGGTATAGCTTCACCAGCGGCCCCCTTTCCCGAGGCAGTCCCTGCTCTCCCCTGCGAGAGGGGCACCCTAATCCATTCACCCCATCCGATTTCAGAATGTAATCGTTGGGTTCAGCAACTCACCACCAGCATCCAACCAATCCTAGCGAATCAACGGCGCCACAACTTAGTTCCTAGTCAGCTCGCAAGTTACTATTATCACGTCGTACATCGTCCGCAAGATGGGGAGCCACCTCCCACTTCAACACCTGTCAAGCATCCGAGAGGTCGGCAGGCGGAATTGTACCCGGGTCGTCCGGGCACAGAAGCCAAACCTACTAGTGTATCATTATAGACAGACATGCATAGCTTGGGGATAGTACTTTTCTTATCTCGACACAGAGTGCTTAGCCCGAGCGTGGCCCGCCTCCCTGCAGCGAGTAGTTGCTTGGTACATGCTGAAAACTCCCCTCCTGGGCCATATTGCAACCCGAGGTACCGTGCCGTTTCATGGCCGGTTAGCACCCGCAACCCCCACCCCACCTAGCCGGTACTCAGCTTCCATAAGCCGCTTCCGCTCACGTGTAGTGCCCTCGAAAATGAGGACTTGGCGGCGTTCGCGGCCATACCCGTCGCGTTGCAGGTAGCCCCAGAAGGCATTCAGCTCTATCGTGCCCGGTCTCTACCAGTGACACATCGTCAACGAAAAGCAGGTTGGTGAGTTCACCGCCCGCCAGGCTAACACTCTGCTCGCGGAGGGTGCTCCATCGGCTAGGAAGGCGTACACATGCTAAGGGGGCACCCTTGCTTCACACCACGCCCCACCGTGAATTCAGGTCCCAACCTGTTCCCCAACTTGATCTGAACAAAGTTATAAGGACCGTGGAGGATACTATATTCTCTAAGATTGACAGAGGGCATAATGATACGGGCAGGATTTGAACCTGCGCCCTTTCGGATAGGAGCCTTAATCCTACGCCTTAGACCACTCGGCCACCGTACCATGTGAGGTAGAAGGAACCGCGTACCGCGCTGCGCCGCGAAGGGGACCGTAGCTTCGACTCCCAGGGCAGCTGTGGGTGTGTGGTGTGTGGTGTGTAAGGTGCTGTGTGGTGCATAGGTGAGAACGGTATTAATCTGGGGAAGCAGTGGCGTGGACTCAGTTACATTACATCTGTGACGGAGGGTGGCTTAGTAGCAAGCCACAGCCAGCAGTGTCGTAGCAGAAGGCATTCTCGAGGTTCACATCCGGCATCCAACAGCAACGACCCATAACAGCAAGAGAGGCAGTTCCTCACCGCAGGCTGCCATGTAAGAAGTTGCACAATCACACAACAGCAGGCATGCGATAACTTTAATTCGAAGCCTGAGCATCAAATTGATTCGCAGATGTGAAAGAACACAAACATTTCTAGGTTCGCAGTCTCAGCGCGTGGTAACGATCTTGCGGACGTTCTCAAGGCTCGCAATGGTCAGATCCGTGCCCTGCAGCTTTACATGCAGACCTGCTGTGAAAGCCGCATTGACGGCTTCGCAGGCGGAGGTGATGTCGTCCGGCGTGGTGTCGGCGAGTGGGGTGAATGAACGGGCTGCACTCGATTCCATCCAGTTCTGAGCCACGTTGGCGGTAGTGAGTCAGAGCCGTCACAGCAGCACCCGGCTGCTCCGGATTGTCATTGTGAAAAAACAGTAGGGTATCAGCTGCTGCTTCCAAGCTGTTGATGTTATCATGGTCATCCCGGAGCACAATGGCCATGAACAGGCCTGTGCTCAGGAATGTGTTCTCATACGTGGTCTCGAACGTTTCGTGAAACGTTCGGCACGATCGTGTCCTGCCAACTTGAAGGACGCCATGGCCATTCCGATGGTCAGGCTGGCTGTCGTACGGTTCGCCGCGGAGATAAGGTTTCCGATGCCCTTGCATCGGTCCTCGTGGGCGGCTGCGGGGTCTCCACCACCAGCAGCTGCAGTGTCAAGGAAGTGGCGGCTGATCATGATCGTGCGGTTCAGCCATGTGACTTGGCTCTGCGGCGTGGCCTTGGCGACATACTTGGTGGCATAGTGCGTGGTTCGGTGGGCCACAACCTCTGCTTGCACAAGGATGTCCTCCAGGACCTCGGGGTCACACATGGGGACCGGCAGTACAAGCTGTTCCTCCACTGTTGCGATGTACTGACGGTCGAGCTCGCAGGCCAGCGTGAAGACGTTGTTGCAGCCCAGCACCATTGTGACAGCGGGGCAATGGGGCACAATGTTGGGGCCGTATCGGGGCAGAACGAACAGGCCGCTGTCGCCCACCCACTTGAACTCACACCGGATGTGGCGTGGGTAGGCCATGCCGCAGTCTCCATCCACGCCTGCACAGCCGAAGTGTTTGCAGGTGTCGGTGTGTTTGTGGGTGCAGGACCCCACGACACCCGCCACAAGGTGCTGGGTGCAGCGTTCCAAGCACACTTTGGGTGTAAAGGTATCAGTGGCTTCACCCCCGGTCCCACACGGCTTGCCATGGGCGACAATGGCAAAGTCATACGCGGGTGCCGGCATGGATCCATCTGGCTGAGGCGCGCGGATGGCTGGGGGGCGGCCAGCGGACGCTGCGGGGGGGGCTGGCTGGACTCCATTGTCACCATTGCCAATGTCTTCATCTGTGCCCGAGGCGCTGCCAGGTTCTGCTTGAGTCAGGCCGTCATCCTCTTCTGCAGTAGCATCTGTCATGCTGTCATCACCAGAATTCGTTGCTGCCGTTGATGTTTCCATGGGCGTCGGTGCAACTGCCGTTGGTGTGGTGGGTGCAGCCGTGACCAGGGGTGTCTGCCAGAAGACTCGTCGCTCTTTGTCCGAAT